TGATGGTAGTGGGGGCTAAATGCACGGTTCGACCCTGCTTGCCGCCTAGTGCCATCTGCCACGTAGGGATGTATTCGGTCAAACTCTCCCCCGTCCACCTTTGAGAGCTAGTCTGATAAGCTCTACGTGGAAGGTTACCAAATAATATCTTCCCTTCTTCTCGCTTTTATTTGCCTTGCACGAAGGGTTATGAACCTGGCGTGGGAAAGCTTTCACAACCAGAAACAAAAGAAAGACAGCGGTGTTTCAGATAAAAGCTGCAAACTATGCACCACACATGATGAGCAACTGCAAATTTAGTTTACTTGATGCTGATTTGTGCAGAAGTATCCAGAAAGGCCCTCTGTCTGTGCCGTTCGCGCCGCGTTATGTCTCCTGCCTAACACCCTGCGGGATAAAGCTTCGCTGACAAAATGTTTTAAATTGATCTCGGCAAGATTACGGAAATTCAAGTGGCTTGATATTAATTCAAAACACCTACGTAACCGCTCATGGCCATGCTTCCGTAGCCGCCTAAACGAAGGCCTCCGCAGACGCCACCACAGGTTTGTTGACAATTACAGCTGCCTGTGCTACAGCCAGCATAACACGATTGCAGGCAGTTGCTGCATGAAGACTGTGACAAAAGAAAATCAGATATCTGCCAAGGTTTTTCTTTCAAAGGCAGTGATCGCGATGGCCGGAGGGCGTCGCGGTTTTGATGACGTCATTGGATGTCATTGGCGGAAGTGGATTGGAAGGCGGTTCCAAGCATAATTCCAACGCATTGAGGGCTCTAGTACACCAGTTATGTTCACTGACATCATCAAAAAACCTCTCAGTCCCCTAGCAGTCGTGATCACAGCATTCAAACACTCACAGCTCCTACGGCTACACCTCCGCAGACACCACCACAAGTTTGTTGGCAATTACATCTGCCTGTGCTACAGCCGGCATAGCATGATTGCAGGCAATTGCTGCATGAAGACTAAAAAATCAGATTCCTGTTGAAAGTTATTTAAAGGTCGTGATCGCAGTTTCTGGAGAGCGTTACGGTTTCGATAATGTCGTTGGACGTGACTGATGGAAGCGCCCAAGCACAACCTCTGAGCGTTGAGCGATCTGATACACCAACGACTGCACTGACGTCATCAAAACCGTACCGCCCCCCAGCCATCACGACCACTGCCTTTAATCACTTACGGCTCCTATGGCTACGCCTCCGCAGACGCCACTACAGGTCTGTTGGCAGTTACAGCCGCCTGCGCCGCAGCCGGTATAACATGACTGGAGGCAATTGCTGCACGAAGACTGCAGAAAAAAATAAATCAAATTGCTGTCGAGTATTTTGTTCCGGACACTCACAGCTCCCACGGCTACTCCTCCACACACGCCATTACAGGTCTGCTGACAGTTGCAATTACCCGAGCTACATCCACTATAACACGACTGTAGACAACCGCCGCATGGAGTCTGTAAAACGACACAGAAACTCTTCCCAATTCAATGATAGTCTTTTTGGATATAAATGTTTTATGACACAAAGAGGTACCAATTTTTTTCCAAAAGAATTCTAAAAGTTCACAAAAACTCCAAATTGTCCAAAATTCCAAAAACCAAAAAGTTTCAAAAAGAATTCCTTTGAAATCTTCCGCGATATTTCGGTGTATAACACCTTCTTCAGGCATGTGTTTGCCTCAGCCAAATAAAGCTGCCCTTACGGGAGCCGCGCCGTTGGAGAAGAGTTTAAAATTTATTAAATTTAAATTTAAAATTTCTTAACTCTACACTCCAACGGCGCGGCTCCCGTAAGGGCAGCTTTATACTTGGCTGTGGCAAACACATGCCTGAAGAAGGTGTTATACACCGAAATATCGCGGATTTCAAAGGAATTCTTTTTTTTATCGACATGCTTTTTTGGTTTTTGGAATTTTGGAATTCTTTTGAAATAAATTTTGGTGGCTCTCTGTGTGATACAACATTTGGGTCCTGATAAGGCTCAGCAGCAGAATACTAAGAGATCTTTATGGACAGTGAAGTCACCACTGCCAAGTGTCTATTGTAAGATTCCCAACGAGAGAGTCATATTTGTGATTTTCACAGAGGATCAAATATTAATATAATATTTGGTAGGGTATATTTGAAATTCTCAGGAGCTGGTGAGATTATCTTGCTAAATTCAAGTTTTTTGTGAACTTCGCAGTTTTACCGTTTCAGCAGTTCCATTTATAACTTCTTCGCTAGCAGGTTTTTGTTGGGATTGATGGTAATTCGGACAATATCAAGAAGAATAAGCCGTGGAATGAGCCGTAACTCCATTGGTGGTGGACTAGGGAGGGAGGTGGTCCTAGCGCTACGGCTGACTGTGCTTGCTCACTAGCCCATTGTCCTCCTTACGTTAGTTAGCGATTCATTGAAGGCACATTCCGCAATAGCGCAATTACGGTAGCCCTCCTTGTGTTTGACTGATGGCGATGGCCAAATATTCTAATGATATTCTAAAGACGGTGAGGGCAGTGGGACATTTGAGCAATATTTTGTCGTAAGACTCCATCACAGGCGGCATGTGCTTCGAAACTGACGAACTTGCTGATGTGCGCGTTGGGCGAAAAGTCTTTGTTGCACTCTTGCCCTGTTGCCCCCCCCCCCTATGGTATATAATTGCAGGCAGGCGTCGCATTCGAAGACTGTGGCGCGCTGACCAGAATAACGAAGAATCTCTGTGAATCGGGAATTCGGCGATTTCGCAAAATAAAGGGCATCTGCCAGGATTGAACCTAGGAGGGGCAGATCCTCAGAGAAATAGAAAAAACTCACGCTTTAAAGTCTATCCTATCCTGCCTACGGTTCTGTACTGTGCATAAAAGAAAAAATAGATGGCTCACGCGATCTGAGATGTCTTTTCGTCACAATGCCCTGTTTTGTGCGATATAGCGCCGAGAATTCTCGTAGCAACACTACATTCATTATGTTTTTTTTCCTAGGATTTTTTGGTACGCATTTACCTCTTTTTTATATGTCCTATTTTCTCTCTGCCGAAATCGTTTTGACCCTAACAAAATTTTTGCTTGACGGGACACTTTGAGGCAATTCCCATATTAGTTCCATACTGAATGAACAAGCTTACGATAAACGCGGAGCAGGTAGACAGCAGGTGGAGGAAAATGAGTGCTATAGAACGCCAGTACATTCTACTCCTGGAAGAAATTTAAAAGAGATCGACAATAATTTCCTTCCTAAAAAGAGCACGACGTTGAGTCTGACGATTGGAGCTGGAAATGAGAGGAGGAGGCTTCTGAAGATTTGTGTATTGAGAAAAGGATGTGCCGTAAAATGAGATGGCGCTAGTATGCAAAATAGAGGGCATCATTTGTAGATTGACTAGCAGCAAAATATTAGTGCCTCAACATGTGGAAGTATTGAAGGCAGCTTTCACGATGAAAAGCCAGCTCATCAAAATGAAAGGGTGGTAGTGGTGCAGGGATGAAGAAAATCATGAGAAACGGCCCAGAACCCGAGAAATGGGACCCCTTCCTTGCCCGTTGATTTCCGCATTGATGCGACTCTCATCGGTGCTGCCCTCTTCAACGCTAACGCTCTCTCTGCTAAACGGCTAGAGACCAACGGCGAGTGACTAACCAGTTGGTGGGCGTAGGGCGCCAATAGCGCCGCGGAAAGGACCATGCTAGATTACCAGGGCTGTGCTTTGCTGTGAAATGCGTGTCGACTTGGACCCTAGGGGAAACGCCTGTCCATCGAGTAGGTAGGTTTTCCATTCACAATTTGATCTTATCGTGGAATCCTTCTTTAAGCCTCCGACAGATCCCAAAAAGCGTGAGCAGCAACTATCGGCAAAATCAAACTCCTCAGCGAGAGGGGATTCGAAACAAGATAGAGTACACCTTAGGAAAAAGACAAAAAATCTAGATCCCTAAGGATTCAGCCGGATATGAAATGTGTGCTTGAGTTCAGCGTTTCGAGGAGGCTTCGGGTGGTGGTCATCTAAACTCAAATGGCCACTTCGGCCTACCCTTCTTCCCTGTTTGGATCAGTGGTTGAGAAGAATTCCCCCTGAGGATATTAAACACATTTGGCAAATGAAGCATCTGAACTTCACTA